ACTCAGCAGTCAAATTTGGGCACCACAAGGAGACTCTGACTGAAGTCTAGTGCCCTGCATGGCTCACTTGAAGATACACTGTCAGGCAGTGACAACTGACAATTTAGATGCCTAGTCCAACTCTGAATAACCTTATTAAAAAGGTCAGGAACTCTTAAAAAATATTATAACAGCAATCAAAATAACAGTTCTTTATTGGCATTAATGGTTCCATGAAGAACCTTTAGCCAGTACACACTAGGGCAGTGTTTCCCAACCCTTTTTTTTTTTTTTGCCACGGCACAGTAATTTATTTAACTTTGCATTGCAAACAAGCAAAGATCTCCATACTGCATGTAGCACTTCATTCACGATAGAGGTGGGTGGAGCTATGAGGTTTGACTGACAGTTTGAAGAGCCAATGGAGATACGCGGTTTAGTCACAAGCTCTTTTAAATGCTTTTCATTGGTTACATTTTTGTAAAACCCTCATACAGAGGTAAAGGATGACCAATAATATTGATTTTTACAAATAAAACAAAACAAAAATGATGAAATACGAGATGTCTGCCTGACAGCGACAATATATTATTTTTTGTAGAATTTATTATATATATATTTTTGAATTTGATCATTTTCCACAGCACACCTGACAACCAGTCACGGGGTGCAACGGTTCTAAATAAATATATATATTTTTTAAATCAACCGTACCATTCTCCAACCACGGTTCGGCATGCACTTGCACCGTGGTTCATCTTAAATCTGACAACACATTTATAAAATGGTTTGTTGAAAACTAAGCATAAAACAGACACACAGAGTTCGGCTAATGTATGTTTCTGTCGACGGATACACGTTCTGCCTTCCAAATACGTTACAACAGCGATGATCAAAAACGTGGACAAAACAGACACTCTTTGTAAACTTTGTTCAATAGGAGTACCGTATGCTCTAATACCACCAGTGATTTATCAGCAGCCGAGTGCAGGTGAGACTTGAAAACACGTTACTATCTGTGTTTAAACTAAACTCATTTAAGCCTTGCCAATTTAAACATTCAAGCGCAGGACGCAAAAGAGAACTTGCACGTGAACTGTAAGAAGATTGGTGTGTGCTGTGCACTCAGCCAAAACACACACGCCGAAAGCCGCATCTCAGAGAACGAGAAAATATTGAGTTCTCTTTCAAATCTTGCGCTTGAACGGACAAATTCACACAGAAATTATGTCAACTTGCCCATCTTGGCGAGTATCCTAGCAAACATAGTCGGTTTCGTCTTAAGTGAACGTAAACGGTCAAGAAAGACATGTATTAGTATCAGTGTTTTGGATCCGTGCATTATATCTTAAAGTGACAGGAGAGTAATATTCCTGCTGTCTTTGTTTAATGTTAACCAAACAACAAAACACAAGGAAATCACTCGCTGCTCTTGACTCAACAGCTTTTGTAACTTTAATAATGATCAATCTTTATTTAATTTATACAGTGACGATTATAAGCAATGTTATTTTACATTTGATTACTTTATTCAGCAACTAGGCCTACTTCTGAGAACCGCTCCCAAACATTAGATTTAGCAGCCTGACCTTTTTTTTTTTCTTTTAATCATGTAAATTCCCGACCTCAATTTCTCCCGCACCTCGTCTTCCATCTTCACTTTTATTTCTCCGTTGTTGTTGTTGTGGCTGGCGGCGGGAGCTGCTTGGCGCGCCGCTTTCGTGACATGTCACGTTACGCCAAAGGTTTGGGAACCTCACGCAAGTTACGTTACTACGGCATTCGTATTCAAATAACCTAATAAAATATGAAAATAGATATTCCCAAATATTTAATATAGGCTGGAAATTGCAAGCAACATACATGGATTTAAAAAAAAAAAAAAAAACTAATGACCCGCCCCAACCCGCCCCGCAAATAAAGTGACAGTTTCTTTACCCGCCCCAACCCGACCCGCGGGTTACCCGCGGGGTCCGAGTCGACCCGCGCATCACTAACGCGCAGGGATCTATACTATAGCGCGTGATACATTTTGAATTTAGTTGGCGCAATGGCGGAGAGTAAAGATGTCCATAAAAGGCAGAGAATGTCTAAAGTTTGGGATCATTATGCATACTTAAAAAGGAAGAGAACAAGGTGCAATGTGTCTACTGCAAAGTAGACCTGGCATAGGCTACCACAACAGTACGACTTCAATGATTCAGCATCTGAACCGAAAACATCCACTTCCACTCCATGCTGTTTCACCAAGCGTCGCTAAAACAAGGTAAACTAATGGTGTTCACACCGAACGCGGATAGAGCGTCAAATACGCGTTTGAAAAATTGCAATAAATAGGCTTAGTTTTGGAGCCAAATGTTGGAGTTGGAATAAATACCAGTTTTTTTTTTTTTTTTGGATAAATAAAAGCCAAATGCTTGATCATTTTACAGCCACATCATTTTCGTTATGCATTATTTGTTTTGGTTGTTTAAAAACACAAAAAATGTTTTATCCAATTACTCGATTAATCGATCAAGTGCTCGATTAATCGATTACAAAAAGAATCGGTAGCTGCAGCCCTAATGTGGTTGTCACTACCTGTATTTTTCAGGGGATGATTGGGTTGTAGAATGTGGTTATCGCTCTTGTAAATTACTGTACTCTGTGTACCGAACAGTAGTGATGCGCGGGTCGTCTCATAACCCGCGGGTCGGGTTGGGGTGGGAAAGAAATTGTCGCTTTATTTGCAGGGCGGGTTATTAAAAGCAAAATAAATAAAAAAATCAATGTACACTCACCTAAAGGATTATTAGGAACACCATACTAATACTGTGTTTGACCCCCTTTCGCCTTCAGAACTGCCTTAATTCTACGTGGCATTGATTCAACAAGGTGCTGAAAGCATTCTTTAGAAATGTTGGCCCATATTGATAGGATAGCATCTTGCAGTTGATGGAGATTTGTCGGCTGCACATCCAGGGCACGAAGCTCCCGTTCCACCACATCCCAAAGATGCTCAATTGGGTTGAGATCTGGTGACTGTGGGGGCCATTTTAGTACAGTGAACTCATTGTCATGTTCAAGAAACCAATTTGAAATGATTCGAGCTTTGTGACATGGTGCATTATCCTGCTGGAAGTAGCCATCAGAGGATGGGTACATAGAGGACATAAAGGGATGGACATGGTCAGAAACAATGCTCAGGTAGGCCGTGGCATTTAAACGATGCCCAATTGGCACTAAGGGGCCTAAAGTGTGCCAAGAAAACATCCCTCACACCATTACACCACCACCACCAGCCTGCACAGTGGTAACAAGGCATGATGGTTCCATGTTCTCATTCTGTTTAAGCCAAATTCTGACTCTACCATCTGAATGTCTCAACAGAAATCGAGACTCATCAGACCAGGCAACATTTTTCCAGTCTTCAACTGTCCAATTTTGGTGAGCTCTTGCAAATTGTAGCCTCTTTTTCCTATTTGTAGTGGAGATGAGTGGTACCCGGTGGGGTCTTCTGCTGTTGTAGCCCATCCGCCTCAAGGTTGTGCGTGTTGTGGCTTCACAAATGCTTTGCTGCATACCTCGGTTGTAACGAGTGGTTATTTCAGTCAAAGTTGCTCTTCTATCAGCTTGAATCAGTCGGCCCATTCTCCTCTGACCTCTAGCATCAACAAGGCATTTTCGCCCACAGGACTGCCGCATACTGGATGTTTTTCCCTTTTCACACCATTCTTTGTAAACCCTAGAAATGGTTGTGCGTGAAAATCCCAGTAACTGAGCAGATTGTGAAATACTCAGACCGGCCCATCTGGCACCAACAACCATGCCACGCTCAAAATTGCTTAAATCACCTTTCTTTCCCATTCTGACATTCAGTTTGGAGTTCAGGAGATTGTCTTGACCAGGACCACACCCCTAAATGCATTGAAGCAACTGCCATGTGATTGGTTGATTAGATAATTGCTTTAATGAGAAATTGAACAGGTGTTCCTAATAATCCTTTAGGTGAGTGTATGTTGCGTGCAATTTCCAGCCTATATTAAATATTTGGGAATATCTATTTTCATATTTTATTAGGTTCTTTGATAAGGTTACAATACGAAAGCCGTAGCAACGTAACTTGTGTGGTTTCCCCAAACCTTTGGCGTCACGTGACACGTCACGAAAGCGGTGCGCAAAGCAGCTCTCGCCGCCAGCCACGACAACAAGAACGGAGAAATAAAAGTGAAGATGGAAGACGAGGTGCGGGAGAAATTGAGGTCGGGAATTTACATAATTAAAAGAAAAAAAAGGTCAGGCTGCTAAATGTAATGTTCGGGACCGGTTCTCCGAAATAGTTGCAGCAGGAGACAGCATCGGCTACGTGAAGTGCATATACATATAAATATACAAACAGGAGAGCCACAAAACGGGCACTTCCAGCATGTCAAGACATATTTGTGGGGGGTCTAAGAAATAAAAAATGGTTTAGCCTATTAGATGAATACAAACGCTGCTTTGTAAATGTTGTAAATGTTTATTATTATCTTATTAATATGACGTGATTTATAGTTCATATTCATAATCGTCTGTTGTTGCCAGTTTACAGGGCGATGTTTCCAAGCACTTTCAGGTTGAAATAAAGGCTGTTTTCATTTACATTACAATGCCTAGTATGTCTATTTAACGGTCGCGGGCCGGGTTGTAAAAATAGATACAGTGGTGCGGGGCGGGCCAAATAATTTCATAAAAGCGTGACCCATCACTACCGAACAGGATTAACACAAAAAGGTGAATTGACAACCGACTTTAGTTGCAGTGTGTACATGGTCTTTAACATTCATAGAACCTTTACATTCCACAAAAGGTTCTTTATAGTGGAACAAAGTGATTTGAATTGTTAAAATCTTCAAACTAAGAAAAAATGTATTATTTGATGAATTGATCGCTGAAAGGTACTTTGAGGAACCCAAAACGGTTATTCTATGGCATCACTGCGAAAAAGCTACTTTTGGAACATTTATTTTTAAGAGTGAAATAGAGGAAAAAGCTGGTCTTACCTGTGTAACCTGCAAACCAGCCCCAAGACGCCACCATTGCCAGTAACCACCTGAACATGAGCCCTTCAATGTACCAGAACGTGTGGGCATCCAGAACTCTTAAAGGCTGCAGGACTATCAGGTAGAGGCAGTAGGACGGGATCGCAACACAGTTATTGACAAACATAAAGGTGAAACGGAGCAGCGACTTCATTAAGATCCAGAACAATTTGCGGGCCGCGTCCAGATGGGGAGCCATACTTTACTGTCCTGCCTGGGAAAAAAGAAAGTAAAAAGAACATCAAAGCAAATTATATCTCAACACTTTAGCAATGCCTGAGGCTGATGTATGTTTAAATCAAGGTAGTCAACTCAAGACGTGGAGGAGACTGAAGTATGTAAACAATGTATAGAGACGTGGCTTACTTGCTTATGTGAAGTGAACTGATTTACTAACACACATCCAGTAACCTCAGATATAAATGTGCCGGTTCATACTGACACCCTTTACGCCAGTTAGACTTTGATATCTGTGTATCATGTAAAACAAACAAAGAAAATCTTTGGTTCAAATTAAATAGAGTCTTTCCTGATAAGCATGTTGAGGAGGAGCCACTTCAAGTTAACCAAAGTGACAAGATCATGCTTAATGCTACATTTCTCCTAAGTGTATATGTGTCATAAAAATGAACCAGTACAAAATAATAATTAATAAGAATGACGGTGACTTTATTCAAAACATGAGAAAGATTTCCAATCACAATAAACGAAGATAACGTTTGATAGCGCAAACATGACCTGTGTCAGTTTAACACACTTCATCTCAGTTATTGTCGTTTGAATCCCTTTTATTAATCTGTTTTAAGGTTAATTAGAATAAAAATCCTCCGAATGAAGGTTAAATCTTTAAAATGTGTTGTTGAACAGAGCGCTAACGCGGCTAACATGATAACGTTACAGTTTTGACTGCTGCTTTAATAACAGCACTGCAGAATTAATTCCGAAACATGTATATTTTCTAACAACTCAAATGTAGACACGTAAATTAATGAATAAAACACGATAATATATACAATACCTAATGCTAAATAAAGCATAAAGTGTATCTGTGCGTGCGCTGCTGTGTTAGCATGCTAGGCTAATGCGAACTCGGGTCATTAATTCAGTTTAACGGTCACATCTGATCATAATATGAATTGAGTATTTCTTTTTTAAATTTTCTCTTCATTTGAGTGGTTGATTTCATTATTCGAGCAATATAATCTTCTATTGTCTGTCATTCATATAAAGTGGCCGGTGTCTGTCTGACTGAATCGGGTATTTTAATGAGATTTGAACTAAAGTCCTTGGCGGATCCCGAGACGAACCGGATCGGAACAGGTAACGTTAACTGTTATCCCCATCTAGTAAAACGCCTCAACGGTTCAAAATACATGAATGATCTGAAACAATCTCCTATTTTTAACCATCTAATCTTCACGTGAAAGTGTTTTCTCACCGTGCTAACGCGCAGCTCGCTGGTGAAGCTGCCGATGGGTTCGGACGGTTCGGTCACATGTAGCGGATGATGATGATCGGTGAACCCGTGAGCTGTAAGTCGTCTGCTCCACGGCTTGACTCGGTTCCTAGAGTCCGTGTCCTGGTCGGATGCATGCGCCTCAGTCACACACGCGCATGTTGCTGTAGTCTCGCATCGAACCGACGGGCGGCCGAACCTCCGGATCTGCTCTCAAATCCCCGAATCGAACACAGCACACGCTTGAGATCAGACGCGTAAACTCATCTTTGCGTTCCGGGTGAGGCGTGTCGGGCATGTATTCACTGGGCCTCTCCTCCGGGATGATGAGGAGGATGATGAGGAGGATGATGATGATGATGATCTTTGGCTCCGTTTCTGGATCTCCTACAGGCTGCGGGCACGCGCAGACTCAGTGAAAGCACGCGCACTGATACCGGCCCAGCTCTGCTGCTGAAGAACCAAACTAGATGTGTAGGCTAATATTAATTATATTGCTAAAGAGCCCAAGATGTGTTCAAACTTCCATCTTTGGAAGGCCAGAACACTCTATATGAATTGTCCACACGGTAGAATTAGCCTACTGTAGTAGGCTATAAAAGAAGATTAAAAAGTCCTAACCAGATTCTACAAACAAAATGAAACCAAAATATTCAGGTGTGTTTTCCGCTGTATTTTGGAAAAGTTGGTAAACTATGACCTCCAGTGGGCAATTCAAAAACAATAAATCTGTCTGTCTGTCTGTCTGTCTGTCTGTCTGTCTGTCTGTCTGTCTGTCTGTCTGTCTGTCTATCTATCTATTCTTTATCTATCTATCTATTGTCTGTCTGTCTGTCCACATTGACTACAAACTAAACGAGATATCCATCAAGTGGACTTTACCCAGTTACTTCACCTCGGCTAGCCTACTATTTAGTTTATTACTCACATTATGAAATCACCTGGTTAATAGATAATCTTTAATCTTTAAAAACTTGACTTGATAGTCTTTATAACTGGTTAAAATGGGTGGGTCCACAAAAACGTTCATTAATGACTTGATTAAAAATGTGATAACTAAAAATAAGTTTTTAAAAAAGAGTTTAAAAGGTAGCCCACGAGAAGGCAAATTAATTTAAAAAAAAAAGATAATTCTAAGGTGGTTCTTTTGTGGGATTGCTAATCTTTTGAATAGCGAAAATAAATTAATAGCAAAAAAAAAAAAAATATTAACAGGAACATTTTTTAACAGGATCAGATTTTAATGATACAAGTATCAAAAATGTATATAATAGAACATCCATAAGGAGGGATTGGAAATAGACCAGGAAACTGTAGACAGACTGATTCAAATGCATGGTTCTCCTCTTTTTAATAAGTTAAAAGGGTATCTAAAAATACATTTGAGCTGAAACGTGACTGACTTTCTAAAAGAAACACACATTTTCTACCAAAAGTATTTCTAACTGTCACCGTCCCACAGGTGGGACGTTTGCCATTCTATTTTTAAAACAATAATATCTTAGTAAAAACCTTAAGTAATATTGACAAACTATATATCATTTGAAAGCTTACAATCTCCAGTTCCCATATTTGGAGACTGATTTTCAAAATAAATTACAGAGGGGCCGTAATTTATCCATTTGCAACAAGAATATTTTCATAGGCTACTCCTAAGGCGTGTTCAGACCTATATTTTGAAATGGCAATGAACATGAAAAATCATAAAAAAAATGGTAGAAACCTCAGTTTGTTTTCATGCCAAGAGTTCAACAGATAGCATCCATTCAATTATTTTAGAAAAAAAAGGTCTGAAAATGTTTTAAATATAAAGAAAAAAATAGTAAATTCACCATTTATGATGTGGCAGCGAGCTATAACGCACATGCGTGTTCTTTGTATGTTTCTTAGAGGTTGAATTCATACCAAAATCTGCCAAACTTCCCATACTACTTCTGAATAGGATGTCTACATAAATTGTATGAAAATTGTGAAAATAATAGTTCATATCACTCAAAACACATATGGAAATGGAGGCGCCCTTATATGGGCAGTAATGGAGTCTGGTTGTCATCTAGTGAAAAGGTTTCTGAAAGCTTATTTTTTGAGATATCAACATAAAATTTTAAACACAACTTGTTCAGATTTTTGGCTTTGATTTTTCTGCAGTTTTAGAGTAGCCCAGGTTTTGAAAATCTATATTTTATATATATGAATAATTATTTTTTTTACATTGTACATTTCCATAAACTCAAACTTCTATAACTTTTTTATGTTTCACTTTCCTAATTTATTTCACTTCTACAAAAATCTGCCAAATATCTTCTTTAAAACAAGACCAATCTTACGTCTATATTCCAAAGCATTCTTGAATTACAACCATTTAAGTTCGAAATGTGTATTTGCATGTCTATTCAAAAAAGGGGGGTGACAACCTCTTAACCTGCATGGCGGGCCCATTTGCCATTGCATGTTTAAAACAATAATATCTTAGTAAAAACCTAAAGTAATATTGCCAAACTATATATCATTTGAAAGCTTAAAATCTCTAGTTTTCATATTTGGTGGCTGTTATCTAAAGTATATTACAGAGGAGCAGAAATGTATCAATTTGCAACAAGAATATTTCATATTCATTAGGAGTATTTAGGCCTTTATTTTGAAATAACAATAAACATGAAAAATCATGAAAGATTGGTTGAAACCTCAGTTTGTTTTCATGCCATGAGTTCAAAAGATAACACCAATTCCATTTTATGAGAAAAAAAGGTCTGAAAATGTTTTAAATATAAAGAAAAATGTATGGATTCTCGATTTGTAATGCGGCTGCGAGCTATAACGCTATAACGTAGTCTTTATGCATTTATTAGAGGTTTAATTCAAATCAAATACTGCCAAACCACCCATACTACTTCTGAATAGGATGTCTACTTCATAAATTGTATGAAAATTATTGAAATACATGGTTCAGATCACTCAAAACATATGAAAATGGAGGCGCCCTTCTATGGGCAGTAATGGAGTCTGGTGTTCACCTAGTGAAAAAGTTGGGTACTGCGCCCGAATAAAATCTTACTGAAAGCTCATTTTTTGAGATATCAACCTAAAATTTGGAATACAACTTGTTCAGATTTATGACTTTAATTTTCTTGCAGTTTTAGAGTAAAATATATTTTGTAATATATATATTTTATATAAAATATGAATCATCATATTTTTACATTACACAATTTCATAAACTCAAACTTATATAACTTTTTTTTCTGTTTCATTTTTTACAATTTCTAGACTTCTACAATAATCTGGAAAATGTCTTTAAAACAAGACCAGCCATAGGTCTATATTCCAAAGCATTCCTGAATTACAACCATTTAAGTTTGGATAGTGATTTTTATGTCTATGCAAAAAAAAGGGGGGTGACAGTTAATTTAAAGGGATAGTTGAGGGTGAGATAAATGATGACAGAATTTTCATTTCTGGGTAAACTATCCCTTTAAATAAAGTGTGTGTGTGTGTGTGTGTGTGTGTGTGTGTGTGTGTGTGTGTGTGTGTGTGTGTGTGTGTGTGTGTGTGTGTGTAAATTCATGGAATCACCAGGAGTCGGATATGACTGAAATGGTCATATAGATAGATAGATCCCTTATAAAAGTAATGCAAATATCATTCATAAAATTCTGAAATATTTTGGTTGCAATATAATTTTAGTTAAAGAATAATTGAATATATAATTTTACTTGAAGAGGTGTCCAGAGTTGCATTGAAAATACTGTGTTGATAAGACATCCCACGGCCCATTTAAAAAACAGCTATAGTTATTTCTTTTGGCTTTACTGTTTTATTAAGTTTTGTAAAAAAAAAAATATATATATATATATATATATATATATATATATATATATATATATAGGCTATATGACTCGTGTGCTATATTCCAGTTTTATGCAAAAAGATACATGAAGATTCTTTGTGTTCCATGTATTAAAAAAAAGAGCATAAATATAAAAAATAATGGCATCACTTTCATTTTCTTTGCTTTTTAACCCCTTCAGACCTGAATTATGTTTCAAGTTTCTGAAAAATATAAAAGTACATTTTCCCAGCTCATGAGGCTTCTATTAATGAGACCAAATGAAAAAAATATATATATATATTGTCTTTCATTGTAATTTTTTTTGTCCATTCCAATGGACGTCAGGTCAAAACAGGTGTACTTCCCAAAAATGTACCAACATGAAATAAATTAATAAACATAAAATTTGTTGGTCTATACTTTAAGCTTTTTCTCAAGGTCAAAAACTTTTCAGCAGTATACCATTTCAACTTTAATTTTGAGGTTTTTGTTTTACAGATTGCACATTGTTTGTAACAAACTAAATATCTTTGAATCAATCAATATGGTCATATTAAAGTCATTTTCTGTATGCATCTTTCTTTTTTTTTAGATCAAAAACTTGAACATTATAACATTGCAACTTTAATTGTAAGGTTTTTGCTTTATAGATCGCACATTTGTTTATTCATAACAAAATAAACCTAGGAATCAATGAATGCATTCACGTTAGAGTCATTTCCAGTGTGCATCTTTGAAACAATTTCTCTGTTAACGGTTTTCTTGTATTTTTACAGTACATTACTGGCAGCACGGTTGCCAGCAAGTTACTGTATTTCGATTTCCAGTAACTGTAGTGTAATTCACTTTACAGTGCACAAGATCAGTACTGTAGACTACAAAATAGTACTTTACTGTATTTTTACTGTATTTCGTAATTTGGTCTGCTTCTGCTGTAATTAATTATACGGTATTGTACTGTAATATCTATATTGATACATTACTGCTAAATATTATTGTAATTTTCAAAATAGTTTCTAATAATGATAATATTATATTATAATAATATAATATAGTTATTAGGAAAATATATAGTAGGAAAAAAAATACTATGGAAGTCAATGGCTACTGTCAACTGTCTTGTTACCGACATTCTTTAAAATATCTTATTTTGTGTTCAGCAGAATACAGAAACTCATACAGGTTTGAAACAACATGAGGGTAACAAATGACAAATATAATTTTTGGCCAAAAATTCAAATTAGCCCATGATTTACTCACCCTCTAGCCATCCTAGGTGTAAATGACATTCTTCTTTCAGACGAACACAATCAGAGTTATATAAAAAAAATGTCCTGGCTCTTCCAAGCTTTCTAATGGCAGTGAATGGTTGTTTCTGTTTTGAAAGTCCATAAAAGTGCATCTATCCATCATAAAAGTGCATCTATCCATCATAAAAGTGCATATCCATAAAAAAATATTAATATAAAATAAAATATGAAAAATATTCATATTCAAGTTGCGCTTTAGATTGAAGTCAAATCCGTATGTTCATTTGGCCG